GAGCTAAAAGGGTGTCTGGGGGCCATACTCTCGGGGTTTCTCCAGTCTCCTTTAGGCCAGTAAATCTGGTCTTTTGTTTTTTTTTGTTTTTTTTTGTGAGTTAGAATGTTTTGTAACTCTTTAAAAGAGATTTTTTGCAGCAGATTTTCCCAATGTAATACATCGTTTGACTTCCTAACTGCTGCATTCATGGACACTGATCGCGGATCCAAGGAAAATGAAATTCTTGACAACTTCAATCTTTTCTCCATTTATCATGACGTCGCTTACTGGTCCAGTTGTGAGGATCTTTGTTTTCTTTATGTTGAGGTGTAATAGGGGAAGTCAGCACAACTTGACCAAAGCAAAGTTATAAAAGCTTCCTAGACACATCCAAACACCTTGAGGGGCTGAAGTGCTGAGGCTGAGGGCTGGGGACCATGGTCCTGGGGGACATCTAGGTCAACTGGCATAACACAGTTCATAAAGAAAATGTTTTACATCCTACCTGGGTGAGTAGCATCTGGGGTCTTAAAACCTTGTAAGCAGCCATCTAAGATACATCTACTGATTCCATCTCATCCAGAGCAAAGGAGAATGAAGAAAAACAAAGACACAAGAAAAATATTAGTCCAGAGTACTAATGGACCACATGAACCACAGCCTCCACCAGCCTGAGCCCAGAAGAACTAAATGGTGCCCGGCTACCATCACCGACTGCTCGGACACGGATCACAACAGAGTGTCCCAGACAGAGCGAGAGAAAATTGTAAAACAAAATTCAAGTCCACAAAAAAGACCAGACTTACTGGTCTGACAGAGACTGGAGGAACCCTTGAGACTATGACCCCCGGACCCTCTGCTAACTCAGAACTGAAGCCACTCCTGAAGTTCACCTTTCAGCCAAAGAGTAAACAGGCCTACAAAACAATAACACATGTGTGGAATGTGCTTCTTAGCTCAATCAAGTACACGAGACTAAATGGGCAACACCTGCCCAAAAGCAAAGACGAGACGGCAGGAAGGGACAGAAAAACTGGACGAATGGACATGGAGAACCAGGGTAGGAAAGCAAAGGGGGAGAGTGCTGACACATCACGGGAACTGAAATAGTGTCACAAAACAATTTGTGTGTAAATTTTTGAGTGAGAAACTAATTTGCACTATAAACTTTCACCTAAAACACAATAATTTTTTTTTAATTGTAATTTGGATTCTCAAAACAAAAGAAGCACAGAAGTTGGAAACAGTGCTATACATACAGACTAAAGCCCAGAATTAAATAATGAAAAAATAAAATGACTTAATTCTGGTATATATCCATGAAGAATTGATGCCCTTGAATAATGGTGTTGGTGAAGAATATTGAATATACCATGGACTGCCAAAAGAATGAACAAATCTGTCCTGGAAGAAGTACAGCCAGAATGCTCCTTAGAAGTGAGGATGGCGAGACTTCATCTTATATACTTTGGACATGTTACCAGAAGGGACAAGTCCCTGAAGAAGGAAATCATGCTTGGTAAAGTAGAGGATCAGTGAAAAAGACAGACCCTCAATGAGATGGACTGACACAGTGGCTACAAGAATGGGCTCAAACATAACAACGATTGTAAAGGATGGCACAGAAACAGGCAGTGTTTTGTTCTGTTGTACACAGGATCGCTATGAGTCGGAACTGGCTTAACGGCACCGAACAACAATAATTTATACTTTAAAACAAATTATTTTCTCTTCTAAACTTAGGACCTTGAGGTCCTCGTCTTCTCTAAATTTCTTACCATCAATTCATTCCCTCAGCACACACAGACACAGGCTCACGGAGCCTCCTTGCCCGCCATCTCACAGTCATAACCTGGAAAGCATGCAATTCTCTTCCTCCTCTGAGGCCAGAGAAGTGCCACTCCCTTCTCTTCTAGATTGTAACAGCAAACGGGAAAAACATCCTTGACTACAGCATGTTCTTCTCCACCAATGAGACTTAATTCTGTGGATTCTTCTCAGTTTACCTACCAATGAATTCAATTTTCAAAACATAAAGACCCTGCTGATGCTCTCAGCCTTGCTGATGCTTTTGTTTAACAAAATAACTCAGCTTCTTTGAGACAAAGGAGACCTACAATCACATCACATGGCTAACGAAACAAGGAAAACTGAGCCAAGGGCCGGCAGGCTCGAGTCTACTGCTCTCACCAAACTGGCCAGCAACTGACCTTTGTACTCAGGGGTGAACTCCTTCATTTCAGGAGGAAGGGACTCGTAGAAGCGCTGCTCCCGGGAGATGAGGGGCTTGCACACAGTGTGGTCGTCATAGCGCATCATGCTGCTGTGTCCGCCCACCTGGTGGATGAAGGGCTCCAGGAGGACTCCCCGGTCTCCGGCCCGACTTGCGTTCTTTCCATACTGCCCCACTTCCATGGTTTGACAAACACACATTGCGTTGGGGGCCGGTTGCACACTGAGGGCAGAGGACGCAGCACATGGGCCACAAAAGGAGAACTGTGTAGAAAGTCCTGGTGAGCTGAAAGCCAGTGGTCAGAGTCTGTTCAGCTTATTCTTCTGTCCTATGGAAAGGAAGAGGAAAAGAAGGAATCAAAACATCTGGCAAGACACAATCTCCCTGAAGTTCACAGAATATCCACTCCGTGAGTAAGAACAGAGACTTCTGTTTTGTTCCCTGCTATGTGTATCCCCAGCACATACATGGGAGGCTTGGTGCATGAGAGGCAGTCAGTAAATTTTTGTTGAATGCTGCAGCTCTGGTCCCCATCATCATTTTGTGCACAGAAGCCAATAATCTCTTCCTTTTCTAGTTGTCAGATTTCTTCTTCTAACTTGTCTAACGGATTTTATTTTAGAGCTACAATGTGTTACAGACATCAGGAAGGCAACTAATTCACTGTTTACCTCACAAAGATGAAGAGTCCAGAAAAAAAACGGAGCAACATGAATTCATTCTGTTCAGATTTCTCAAGCCATCCAATACCTGGTAAGGATCTCTCCCTGACTCGAAGGAAGGGTTTTTTTCCTGAAAAATCAAGTAACACTAGATTCCCAACTTTTCTGCTGAAGGTGCCAAGGACCAGGCAGGGAGTCGTAGGATTAAAAAAGGTTTTGCTTTCCTCAAAGAAATTCCACTTTCGTATTTCTTCCAGTTTAAATCTATAGCTGTCCAAGTTATGACCATGTCTAGTACAATAGAACTTTCCTTTCTGCTCGACTCTATACCCACCAGTGGGAAGGGAAAAGTTTTATACTCAATCACCCTCCTTGTAATGCCAATTTTCTCTCAAGAAAGTTAAAGTAGTTAGCAACTTCCTTAATACATTTTTTTCAACTAGGAATGTAGTAGGCAAGATTACATACATCTGACAGAACAAGACAAAAAAAGAAAAATAAAAAATTTGCAGCATAGGAATATGGTTCTACTTGCAAGGGATAAACAACCTAAATGTCCATCAACAGATGACTAGATAAAATGTGGTACACATATACAATTGAATACTACTCGGCCATAAAGAGAAATGAAATCCTGACATATGCTACAACATGGATGAACCTTGAGAACATTATGCTGAATAAAATAAGTCAACCACAAAAGGACAAACATTGTACAATCCCACTTATATGAAATATCCAGAATAGGTAAGTGTATAGAAACCAAAGTTTACTAGCGGTTACCAGAGACAGGAGGAAGGGAGAAAGAAGTCACTGCTTAGGGGGCACTGAGTTTCTGTTAATGTGATGGAAAAATCTGGAAACAGAGTAGAAATAGTTATACAACATAATGAACATAACCACTGTCACTGTAAAAAATGTTGAGTTGGCAAACGTTTTGCTATATTTTTACCATAATTTAAAAAAAGAAAAAAAAAAGGCTTTCCTTCCACTAAGTTCCTAACAACTTTCCTGAGGGGTCAGGGATTTACTGAGAGGCCCTGCGGTTGCAACCAGCCTTCAAGCTGTAGGCAGATCATAGGTGTGTGTGTGTGTTGTACATGCACATGCCTTAAAGACCAAGCTCCTGGCTAGGGCAGATAAAGAGAGAGGGGCTTCCTTGGCAGACCTTTCTCTGACTGCTGAGAAAGACATGGCCTTCTCCCCAGACAGACCAAGTCAGAGCCAGGATGCAGCAGAATTATGAAGCCAGCCCTGTCTCTTTTGCCACTGCCCACACAAGAACTTGTCCACATTTTGGGCTCATGTTACAGAACAGAGTAGTAAAAAAGGCACCAGGCCCTTTAATCATGGTGCAACTTCAATCAAATGGTCTCATCTATGTGTCAGAAGCCAGGATGATGCTCACCCGTGGGGAGCACATGGCCTTCCCAAGGAGAGTGTGGGTAGTGCCTAGGAGGGGCACAAAGGGGTATTTCTGGAGCACTGGTGATATTCTATTTCTTGTTCTGGGTAGTGGTCAGCAGATGTGTATACTTCTCTATATGTATGTTAGACTTCAGTGAAAAGTTTATTCTAAAAAATTCTTAAGAAAAGAAGAAAACACAAAGGCCATGAGAAGATGGAGGCAATGACTGGAGTTATAAAGCCCCAACCCCAAGGAACACCAAGGGTTGCTGGCAGTCACCAGAAGCTAGGAGAAAGGCATGGAACAGATTTCCCTCAGAGCCTCCAGAAGGAACCAACCCTGCCAACACCTTGATTTCAGACTTCTGTGAGAACTATGAGAGAATAAATGCCACCAAGTTTGTGGTAATTTGTTACGGTAGCCCTAGGAACAAATACATTGTCCCTTTCCTCCATCCAAGGTCCATCCAGGATCATGTATTGTATCTAGTTCTCATGTCTCTTTAGTTTGGAACATCTGCTTGGCCTTTCTCCTTTTTTTTTTTTTCTTTCCCCCTGTTAAAATCACTTTGCTTTGTAATTAATACAGCTCAGATAAAGAAATTCTCTCTTGCTCTCAAAAATGTTCCTTGATCCCTTAAATGCAATGAAAGACTTGTCCACTCCTCTCACCAGGCAGTCACATAGGTTTCAGACAAGAGTTAGGGGAGCAGACAGAATCCTCCCTTCCTGTGGAACTTGTAAGGCATGTAAATACTACAAGGACAATGGGAACAGAAAGGAATCTAACGGTCTAAAATCATGCCAAGAGGCCAGAAAAAAAGGAAGGGGGGCAGGAGTCACTTCTTGGAGTCATTGCTAAGCTGGACAAGAATAAACAGCAAAAGGTCAATCAACAGCCAAGTTGTTCTACTAATGTCTCTGAACAATTTGCATAGAAATTGTCAAATGGGAACATAATTTGCTGTCTGAACTTTCACTGAAAATACAATAATAAAGTATTATTTTTTAAAAAAAGCCAAGTTGTTCTAATTTCCCCAAGTTTCTGTGGGAGAGGTGCTTTACGAAGGCAATATTTTCAAGCCCAAACAGGCCTACCTCTCTGAGCTGGCTTATACCTGTACAGCGGTCCATTCACCAGTAGTTCCTGCTGAGCACGAACAATGCATCTAACACTCCACTCACAAACTAGAGAACTTCTTCTCGTCTAAGCAATGCATTAGTCACCTGGAAGCAGCTGAAGGAAAGCAACGCCCATGTTTATCCCCCTACTCTGTAATTAACTGCCAGTTAGAAAGCTTCTGCTGTAGAAGATCCAACTACAACGGTGATCTCTCTGTAAGCCATGACTTGACTGTATCTCCAGTGACTCTGGACACTTCTGCTCCTGGCTATCACTGTAACTTTGTCCAGAACCTCATCAGCCCTCTGAGCTATTCAGTTGCCAATGCCACCAAGAGGATCATGGTCACCACAGTGTCCCTGTCACTAGCACTATCATTCTAGGCATAACAACAGCCATCCTGAGGATCTTCCAGCAAAAAATCCAAGTAACCAAGTACAATGCAAACCAGCAAGGTAGAAAGCACCTTCTCCCTGTCACAACTAAGGACCTGAGCAATAAAAATCATTGTCAGAACATAGGACCTGAGCAATAAAAATCATTGTCAGAACATACTGGAGAAATCCCAGAACAGCATCATTGCCCCCAGCACAGAGACTATCCATCTGGCCGAACCAAAAGCTTAATAGATCCCTTTCAGTACATCCAGCAGAGTTACCCAAACTCGTAGTGTAAACCGCTATGATGTGTAGAGTCTAGAGCACAGAAGAGGCTTGTTCTGCAATTCCCTCCCCTGTTCCCCAGCAGGGTCAGAAAAGTGTGACATACCAGCTGAAGAGCAGGAGCATAATCAAGTGTCTCCCTGAGTTTCCACATCTCAGAGTGCTTCCTTGTGCAGGGAACTGTAACTGTCCAGGAGCAGGAGGACATGCCTGCAGTGAAGAGGGCTGTAAGCTCTGAGCAGCAGGAAATCTAAATGGAGACCTGTGTTTTATAGTGTTTCTTCCTGGAGTCTCTTATCTGAGGGCTCTTGTCACTACAGAAATCATGGCCAAGTTTTGCCTTTCTATGTAGAATTAGTCCCAAGTAATGTGTTCCCAAGTCACCTGTCTTGTTCTGCTTTCCAAATAATATTCATTAAGATTCTCTCTGGAAAGGTGGAATCCCTGTGGATACAGACCTCTGAGCTGCCAAGAGGTGGTTTCCTGGGTGTCAAGGAAACAAGAATGTTACAAAATAGCTACTTTAACTCCATTGTTCAGATGTGTCTAGACCCAACCACTACAGATGTGGAGGAACTCGTGACCTACTATCACAGTTTTTAAGACTGGTAGAAAGCTGGCATTTATTAAAAAGAATCTCTAAGAACAAAGAGGCAACTAGTTTCCCCAGTCATCCTGATAGCCTTTTTTCACAAAAGTGAAAAGCAACTGCAATAAGTACTTATTCCTATAGCCTGATTCTCTGACATGCAAGTCTGAGGCGGCATTTGCCCAGATTCAGAGGTGAACGGAAATTTTTAATTCTTTCTCCTCCCTGCTCCTTTCATATTTGAGGCATTAAGGAGTTAACTGCAGCAGGGAGCATCCCTAGGGTACTGAGAAGGATCCTTAGGAAATCATGATTAGTATTTCAAGCTCTGCTTCCAGAGCACTTTTTCTCTCTTTTTCTGATGAGTCTTCACCGTTTCTGTTAACGACTTGGTAGATATTTGGAGAGGAAATCTTGTTTTTATGAGAAGAATTTTGTACTTTTCTATGGAACAGTTTGTAGCTGTGTGTGTCCTGGATTGAAAATTCTTTTAAATGTTTAAAAATAAGGAAGTTCGTACAGGTGAGGCCTGTCTGACACACATTAGTATTTAATAGTAAAGCTCCTCTCTAATTAACACAATCCTGAAAAATAGAAATGAATCAAGAATATTATCTAATATTTGTGCATTAGATTGTTTTGACTACTGTGTCTGATTTTATTAGGCTGTTTGCATTTGGGTCTGAATCTGGTCTCAGGGAAGGGAGAAAAGGATAGCACCAAAATAGGCTTTGGTTTCCCAAAACAGATACTTTGTCCAAGAGCAAGTTCTGGGTTTGGGCAAAATCATATTGTGATTAAAACTATAATCCCTAGTAGATAACTCCTATGCCCTAAATACAAGACAAGGTTCCAGTTCTTTTTTCTTTTATTGTGAAAGGACTG